CACATTATATTGCACACATTTATATGTGCATTTGAAAAAGTTGCCACCAAATGTTTTAAAACTTTTATTTGGGGTGTGTGTGTGTGTGTGTGTGTGTGTGTGTGTGTGTGTGTGTGTGTTTGCATGCGCGCACATGCACAGGTGCATGTGTATTATGGCATTTGTGTTTAGTTTAGAGAAGTATTTTGGGAATTTGTTCTTGCCTTCCACAATGGGATCCAGGGATTGAACTCAGGTCATCATTCATGGAGAGCAAACACTTTTACCCTCTGACCCGTCTTGCCAGCCCTAATTTTCTGTTTGTTGGTTTGCTTTAATGTATATTTGTATCACATGCACAGGTGCATGTGTATTATGGCATTTGTGTTTAGTTTAGAGAAGTATTTTGGGAATTTGTTCTTGCCTTCCACAATGGGATCCAGGGATTGAACTCAGGTCATCATTCATGGAGAGCAAACACTTTTACCCTCTGACCCGTCTTGCCAGCCCTAATTTTCTGTTTGTTGGTTTGCTTTAATGTATATTTGTATATATGTGCACATGGGTGTGGGTGTCTGTAGAGACCAGAAGAGGGTATCTGATACTCAGAAGCTGGAGTTACAGGCAATTGTGAGCCACCTGATGTGGGTGCTATGAACCAGATTCGGGTCCACTGGAAGAGCAATAAGCACTTTTAACTGAAGAGCCATCTCTCCAGCCCCTAATATCTATTTGTAATAAGCCATTCATTTATAGAATGGCTTGTTTGTATTCAGAAACCTCAATGAAGGGCCAGTGATATGGTCTGGGGTAAAGGCATTTGTCCCTAAGCCTGATAGCCTGAGTTTGATCCCTGAGATCCACATAGTGGAAGGAGAGAACTGAGCCCCAGAGCTCCTCTGACCTCTACACACTTGCGGTGGCATGCGCACACACACACACACACATATATACATGCATAAATGTAATAAAAGTTGTTTTTTAAAATCTCAATGAAGCTCAGTGTTTGGCATATGCCTATAATTCCAGCTTCATAGAAGGAGGTGAGGAGTGGGAGGTAAAGATCACCTTTGGCTCAGAACACTAAACAAACAAGGCAAGCTCTTTGAGACTACACACACTGCACTGTGTGCTTAAAGACAACTACACACACTGCATTGTGTGCTTAAAGACAACTACACACACTACATTGTGTGCTTAAAGACAACTATACACACTGCATTGTGTGCTTAAAGACTATACACACTGCATTGTGTGCTTAAAGACAGCTACACACACTGCATTGTGTGCTTAAAAGACAACTACACACACTGCATTGTGTGCTTAAAAGACAACTACACACACTGCATTGTGTGCTTAAAGACAACCACACATACTTCATTGTGTGCTTAAAGACAGCCACACACAATGCATTGTGTGCTTAAAGACAACTACACACACTGCTTTGAAACCTGGGTACAGGGAAGCACCTATAAATGAAATCACTGGGGCAGTTGGTAATATTTGGATTTTGATAGTACTTTGGGCAGAGGCCATATATGTTATATTTTTGAATTTAGTAATTGCATTGCAGCTATCTTAAGATGATACTCTTGTTATTTCAGTAGATGCTAAGTGAGGTGTCAGGGATAAAAGGACCCAGTGTATGCAGCTCATGATCAAATGCTTCTGTAAAAATAACCACTATAGCAGTAACAGTTTTTGTTGTGGAGAGAGAACCAAAGTAAATGTGCCAGAAATGTGAAGAACTGACCAGACATGATTAAGAGTTTTAGTGTTCATGGTGATACTCTACATTCTTCTGTGTGACATTTTTCAAAATAAAATTTGGTGAATTCAATATTTAGGTGGCATTTTAAAAATGGAAATGGTTTTAATGTTTGTTACCTTAATCTGTTACATTTACTCTATTAGACTGAACAATGTTCTTGATTATTTTAATTTAGGTATAATCATCCTATTATATGTCACATGCCAATGTTATATCAGATACAGAGGACAAAAGAAAGCAAAAAGTAAGATCCAGATCATGATGGCTAATAGTTTTGATATGATTCAGGAATTCTTTCTTAATGGCTTTACCAGCTATCTATTCTTCTCTCCTGAAGACTACTGTCTCACTTACAACTGAGCCTCATCTACATCAGATTCTAGGAATGAGCCTTCTTAGCAATGACCTGGGAACAAATAATATGTGGTCCCTGTATGCACAAAATGTGATGCTTTGACCAGCATAGGGAACTGTGAAAGAAAGTTCCTAGAAAGAACTCCTGCATCCTGAGGTGAATTTCCTGCAAGGCTATCCTTCTGATAAACACTTCAATGACTGTGGAGAGTTTGGAATGTTGCAGATCCAGAGCCTGTTCACAAATTATCTGAGGACATCTTTAATCCCATAAATAGCCACACCTTGCCTACCTCTTGGGGCTAATAAAATGTATTAACTTTGCTAGACCACCAGGTCCCACCAATCAAGAGCTAAGAATATCATCAGATAACATCTGAGACCTATAATAGGAAACACCCCGCTTAGCTATGACCTACCTACCGAATGTATCTACCAATGTATTTGAATAGTGTCTTGATTTGTTGTGTTTCTTTGTTCTGTTACTCTAAAAACATAATGTAGCTGTTACCATCCTGGAACATGGAATTTGGGGTAACTTAAATCTGTGTTTCTGGGCCATGGTCACTCATATTTGGCTCCAGAATAAACTATCTCTTATCCCCTTTAAAGAAAAGGTGGAGCGGGGGGGGGGAGGGGATGGGAATGGGAAGAGGTCAGTTACAGAGACTTGTTGACTGCTAACCCCATCAATTAGGATGAAATTGTCTTTTGTGCTTTGTAGTACTAGATACCAAACTCGGGGCAGTGAGCATGGCAAGGTAAGGCTCTACCACTGAGCCACATCCTCAACCATGAAATTATTTTATAAAGTCATTATGATTGTTGTTCATTGAGTGTTCTTTTGCCAGTGTTTTGAAATCACTTCAGACACTCTCTAATTGGAGCTGTAGAGATGGCTCAGCAGGTAAGAGCATGTGCTGCTCTTCCAGAGGCCCTGAGTTCGATTCCCAGCACCCACATCAGGCAGCTCACGGCAGCTTGTAACTCTAGCACTGCATTAGCGTGCACAAATCCACACAGGGGTCCATTGCTTTCCTCTGGCCTCTGTGGGCATTACACATGAGAAAATTACTCATACACTTAAATAAAAGTAAATAAAAGTTTTTAGGATTGTTTTTGGAGATCATTACAAATGGTGTGCTACATTGTTACCTATATTTTAAATGTGGTCTGACTGATGATGGCCTTTGGTTTGGACCCTGTTTTCTACATAAGAATTTCGATTTGTAGTGCATACACAATCATTAGTAACTATGCTAGTCACTCAGGGACAAAGCTGCAGGAGTGCTCATTTTCCAGATGTCACTATGATGACAGTGTAACAGGCATTTATCCTGTTCATTTATCCTCCTTTTTATACACATGAACTCAGAGTGAGGTTTTTCATTTTTATCAGGTTTGTTAGCACATACTTGCCGTTCTAGCTAGCACTTGGGGTGCTGATGCAGGAGGGTTACATGTTTGAGACCAGCTTGGGCTGTATAACAAAACCGTCTTAAAAAGAAATTGTTTTAATTTTTATACTTTAAGTGTTGGGATTACTGATAACCTTGACAAAATGACAGCAGAAACAGTGGCAAGCAGCAGTGACCTCCAGAGTGTTTTCCAGAGAGCCTAAGATGATGCTTTAGAGCGGAGCTGCTGAACCCGTGGGTTCAGGAGTGAAGGAGAAGGCCCTGAGAGGAGGTGGCAGGCGTCTGTCCTTTTTATTTTATTTTATTTTATTTTATTTTTTTGGCTTTATATGCTAAGCTAAATGTAAACTTCCATTAAAAAAATCCCATAGAAAAATGGTTTCTAGGAATAGTATTTGGATTTCTTCTCTCTCTCTCTCTCTCTCTCTCTCTCTCTCTCTCTCTCTCTCTCTGCATAACATACAAAGGAAACTAAATTTTAACTAAATGTGCATTGTAATTATACCTTCAATTTTTTGCACGAACTCACAAAGGTCCGCCTGCCTCTGCCTCCCAAGTGCTGGGATTAAAGGCATGCACCACCATGCCCGGCTTCTCTCGCTCTCTCTCTTTTTTTAAAAAAAGTCAGTTAATAGAAATAAATAAATAAATTGAAGATCTTCTGTGAAGTGTTATTTGAACTTAAACCGCTAAGTGTGATAAATTATTTAATGAGAAAAATGTTTTTGTTAACAGAAACCGATATGCAGTATGCAGCAAAAGTGTACCGTGATGATAGGCTTCGAAGGAAGGCAGATGCTCTCAGCATGGACAACTGCAAAGAACTGGAGCGGCTGACCAGCCTGTACAAGGGAGGGTGAGCTGCGGCTGACCAGCCTCTACAAGGAAAGATGAACTGGAACTTTTATTTATACCTTACAATGTACTCTCTATCCTTTCTGTAAATTTAATTTCACCATGAAAGCTGGAGAAGATTTGATATTAAAACCTACACTGATAGTTGGTTCTTGAAATCTTGGACTGTTTATGACCTACTGACTCCTTTTAATAGTAAGAACTGAAAACTAAAATTAAGATTTTAGTATGCTTCTGCAGTTACTTTCATTTTAAAAGCTTATATGATCCTGTAGAATGTCAAGAGGATTATCACACCTGTAGCAATTTCCAATCTTAGTGATTCTCTATTATTTCCTCATCATGTAAATATTTTAGAGTGATTTTGTGTACATACAAGCTCTTGCCTTTTTATTTAAATTATTTTAGTATTTAGCTCCATGAGACACTTCATTCAAGCGATGAAATGAATGTTTATGACATAGTCACATTTTCCCTTAGATATTTGAGTATGTGGAATTTAAACAATGAAACTCTTCCCAAAAGAAAAACAAAACTCTAACTTTATATACAGTCTTATAGCATTATCAGCATAGAAGGAATTGACACTTTAATATAATTATATTCCAGAATATGTAATGAGATAAATGAACTGGTGTATAGTATCAGTATGTCCTTTAGTTTTATGAATTGCTAAGCCATACATACGAATGAAATGCTGTGTGGTAGGTTTGAAAGAAAATATGATGCTAAATACTAAACAAAATGAGTTTCAATGATAAGTTGCAGTTACACCATTTGCAATTCCAATAATTAAAAATTAACCCCAAATGTTCATTTATATGTCTTTTTGCTGCTCAAGTTTATGAAACAAAGGACAACCTTTTTCCCCATGGAAATTCAGTTTTTTTAGAGACAATTTAAAGCAGAACCCAAAAGCAAATGGATTCTTCTACAAATTTTTCTTCTAAGAAAAAATACTGCTAGTAGAGAGCTTTGTGCCTTGTGTGCAGTTGACTCATTTGATCAGAGCATGTGTCCGGCCATAGTGAGAGTGAGCAGAGCTACAGTAGCAGCTAGAACAGCGACTTAGAGCAGTCCTTAAAGAATTCCAGGCAAAATCTCTTCGCCATCAAGCAGTCCATCAAGTCTATAGGAATAAGCTCCTTGTAACTAAATCTGTAATATATATTAGGAAAAAAATAGAGCTGGAGACTTGAAGGGGTTTTGTTTGTTTATTGTTTCTTTGTTTTGTGCTTTTGGGGTATGAAACCTTGATTTCTGGTCTTCTGTATTTAACAGTTGTGACATTTTAATGATTTTTACTTCATATAGTTCAAAGAATAAAAATATATTTTCAGTAGGTTTGTGTGTCCCCGTCCCCATCCCTCCACCCCCCCATAAGAGAATGTTAGATAGGGTGGCTTTGTTCTTTTGTTTAGGATTTTTTTTTCTTAAACATAGTTGATTTATATCATCTGTTGAGTTCTCTTAAAAATGTTCTTTTGTATCCTCCTTGCCATATTCTTCAGTAGAAATGCCTGATTAAATTATTGATTAAACACATTCTCCTAGGAATCTGGACTACTTAACCAACCTTCTAGAAATGTGACCTTTAAAAAAATAGTGCTAAAAAGAAAATGGCATTTTTTAAAAAATAAAGTTTTCATATAATGTATTTACTTATGAAATTGTTAAATGTTATATAAGGGGCTAGAGAGATGGTTCAGTGGTTAAGAGCACCATTTGCTTTTGCAGAGGACCTAGGTCCAGTTCCCAGCACCCACATGGTGGCTGGCAACCTTCTGTGACTCCAGTTCCAGGGGATCTGATGTCCTCTTCTGACCTCCACAGGCATTGTATGCACATGGTGCACATATGTACATACATGCGGGCAAAACACTCATACACTTAAAATAGAAATAAATCTAAAATGTTATATAAATATTTCAGTAAGTGTTATCTTTCAGGAAAACATGTTCTTTAAGATCCGAGCGTATTTCTGTTTCTCTCTAAAGTAGGTCTTGACTTCTCTCTAGATTCTGAGGGATCAACGTCAAGGACCAGGTTCAGCAGCATCGCTACCTCTTCAGTTGTGTCTTTTTCCGTTTTGACTGCTTCTTGAACAGGTTCTTCTTGCGCATGCCCTCATGAAAAGGCTGAGGGCCTGACAGAGGAATCGCTGACTGTTCACTTGGAACAAGCCTGGGGTTGAGTTTTACACTAGTGTCATGCCTCCAATCACAAGTACTTTCTAGGCTCTGTTCGCAGTTTCCCAAGCTCTCTCTTGCTTGCTCTTCGGTATACTTTGTGTTCTGACATCAATTAGCCTGAAATTAGTGTTGTTTTGCTTATGTAAAATGATTTTCTAGGGTCATATTCTTCTAAACAGAGCTGTTTATATTTTACTGCTTCTCCATTAGAGTATTCTTCAGTTCTCATTTAAAGTTCAGATTGAAGATTTCTGAGTTCCATTGCATCATTATTATTCTCTTTAAATTTATTTGCATTTCTGTCATGTGCTGATTTTGCCACATTCTCTTGTATACGGTGCTGAGGGTTAGCACCTCTCTTTCCAGTGTCTTCGGGTCCTTGTGCAGGTTGTCACAGTGTGTTCGCACAGCTTTTAATTGATAATAGCTTTTGCCTAATTCATTGCTTTTCTTTATTTATTTTTCTTTCACTTTTTTTAGACAGGGTCTCATTATGTAGCCCTGGCCACCCTGGAACTCGGTGCAGACCAGGCTGGCCTCAAGCTCAGAGCTCCACCTGCCACTGCCTCCCCAGTGCTGGGATTAAAGCTGTGTATCACCCTGCCTGGCAATATATTACATTTTTGTTCAGAGATAGGTATTTGGAGTACACAGTTTCTCACTTTTCATTAAGATAATGGATCATGGGCTGGAGAGATAGCTTAGTGGTTAAGAGTGCATACTGCTCTTGCAGAGGACCTGAGTTCAGTTCCCAGCACCCATGTCAGGTGGATCACAACTGAGTCAATATGCACATATACCTGCACACAGAGACACACCACACACACACACACACACACACACACACACACACATACACACACACATAATTTTAAATAATTTTAAAAATTTTATTGAATTGTAATTTCCATACAATAAATTTTAATAGCATTTAGAGCTCCTCCTCTATCCACACCTCCCTTATTGCCTCCACCCAATTTAATGTAGTCTATTATGTATATAATAAGACCTATAGAGTCTAATTTGTGTCCCCAAATGTCCTCCAGTGTGGGTCCACCCACTAGAGCCTAGTTACCCTACTAAGAGTCCCATCCTTGAAAGAAACTGACTCTGCCCCTCCCATTTTAAAAAGGTCTTGGGTCATGTGCTTTAATATATCCAATGAAGAAAATGGTCTAGCTTTTAAATTTGTGGAAACTCAATTCTTCATTTTCTTGTTCATATAAGATCTCTGCCATTACTTTTTAGCAGTTTCTTAAGTTCAGTGAGATCTTTTTCTAATTCTTCAGTTTTCTTCTTCTTTCGACCCCCAAAATAAAATTTTCTATAGATTGTTTCAACTCAGTAACTTTCTTTCTTGTTTCTTTTTCAGTTTCTGAATCTGCTCAGTTTTCCCTTCTCATTCTTTTAGCATGACTTTTAATTTGGAGCATTTCATTGAAGCTTTCGTAAGTGAGCTTGCTCTTGTTAGAACTTCGGAGCCTCTCTGCTGTTCTTGTGAGTCTTGCAACCATTTCAAATTGTTTTATTTTAAATATCGTTTATTATTATTATTATTAGTGTGTGTGTGTGTGTGTGTGTGTGTGTGTGTGTGTGTACATGCCATGGTGCACATGTGGAAATCAGAGAACAACTTGTGTATTTGGTTTTCTCCTTCTACTTTGTAGATCCTGGGGATTGAACTCTGGTCCTCAGGCTTCTGCAGGAAGCACTTTACCTGCTGAGCCATCTCACTGGCCTTTAAATTCTGTTTTATAACCTTTAATTTCATAGGAGGCAATTCCCCAATTGAGGCTCCCTCGTTGATCGTGTGTCAAGTTGATACTAAAGTTATCCAGCACAGGTAGTATCTTCAGAGAGATGCCATATTGATGGAGCTCAATTCTGTAGAAGGTTCTCTATCAAAGACAAGACAGAGTCCAGCTGTCTCTTGAAAACAAGAAAATGTCTGGACATTAGCAGAACACCGCCTCCCAGTCAAGGGCAGAACTCTGCCTCAGGATAGTAAGAATGATAGTGGATGGGCTTGTGTTTTCCTTTCTCATGGACTAGAGCTCTGGGAAAGAGTTTGGTTAGTAACAGAAAAGGAAAACACCCTTTACTTTGAACTTGGCTTGATTTATGTTTTGCACACTATATCCTTGGCCAATCCTGCTCATTAGGTATAAAGAGCCACTCTTACAATTAAACTTGCCTTTCTGCACCTGAGCGTTTGGTTCTTTGCCTTCAATCATTCCGTTGTCCACCAGCAGACCTGTGTCTCTACACCTAATAGTTGAGTTACATCAGCATCTTCATTTTTTAGCTTTCTTTCTGGTAACTGTGTCTTACTTTTTTTTTTAAATTTTCTCTTTCCTTTTGTAAAAAAATGTGCTCTATTAGCATATATTGATTATACATAATAATGAGTTTCATTACGTGTATAGATTTGATCACCCTTA